GAGAGAGAGAGAGAGAGAGAGAGAGAGAGAGAGAGAGAGAGAGAGAGAGAGAGAGAGAGAGAGAGAGAGAGAGAGAGAGAGAAGCCAGACGTCGAGGGAGAGGGAGTTGAGCACACACTTGTGTCGGGATTGCAGTGGTGAGTCGCGGCAGTCGCCGCTGGATACTTGAACTCTCCAATTGCATATTATCATATTTTTGAGTGGAATTACATCTGGTGCTGATTCATTTGTTGTCTCTCGGGTGTGGTGTGAACTCTCATGTGTGTGCTCTCACCTTGGATGTGCGAGTTGGTTTGGAATTGCGAGGTTCATTGCACATGTATGCCGGTGCCAAAATTTGGTAGGTATCCCAACAAAGAATCTTGTAAGTGGCTACCTGAAGAACAAATTTCGTTGCGAAATGTGCATTTCAGACATAAGTCACGCAATCACACAACCTATTCTCTCCCCGAACACAACATCCCAGTATCATGACTGTACTGGGACTGGAACAGCGTATATATAAGTTCACGATGATGGGGCACTATGTACGGGGGAAGAAGCTGGTACAGTCAGTCAGTCCGTCATGAGGACGACTATCCCAACAAAGAGTCCCGTAAGCCGCTACGCAAAGAACAAATCTCGTTGTAAATGTGTGTTGCTGCTGTTGCAGACATAGGTCACGTAACCACACAACCTGTTCTCTCCCCGAACATAATGCCCCATTATCATGACTGTACTGGGACTAGGACAGCATATATACTATATAATATAAATGTAATATGCATTCATGATGATGGGGCATTATGTACATTTGTCAGTCAGGATGACAAACCTTTTTCTATCCGCGTCTTGTGTCGAGTGAGTTTGATCTTTTTTGTGTGTGTGTGCCACTGTGTGGTAGTATCGCATTTTATTGTGTGTGTGCACTGTGTGGTATTATCACATTTTATATCGTGTCTGTGGAAAACATAGAGACACAGACAAGGAAGGGAGGAATGAGTGACCACTGATGATTGACCCGCATAGAATGCTGCTGCTATGTCTGCCACCACAACGAAGATCATGCAGCTATGGCTGCTCTGAATTTAGGGCTCTTACGGCTATTTTTGTATTACAGCGACAGCTAGTCCGCTGTTCTCTCATTTTTGCTATTTCGATTGAAACTTGAAAGTATTGAGTGGGACTAACTGCAGGGACAAACTGGATTACCATTGGTGGGACAAACTGCAGGTACAAACTCTAATTACCATCGGAAGCACCCGTTAACCAGCGGGGAGCAGATGTATCCCGTGTGGTGGGTGGGGAGCAGTACCGGTGGTGGTAGGGGTCACGTGCTGACTGTGGAGAGCGAAGTTTGCGCAGGAATTGTCATGTCTGTGTGGTCGCTGTGGTGTTTTGTGTGGTGTGCGTTGAGTTGGACATTACAGCCTTGCAGGAGTGGGGTGGATATCACGACCGGTATGTTTCCAATTTAGAACACCGTCTCCCGGCTGTGGTGGTTAAGATACTTGGCTCTTGAGGCGGAGGTCGCCGGTTCAAATCTGTGTTTGCTTGGAGGAGTGCTTAGGCTCATCAGATGTACGGATCCAGTATTGCTACCATCGGTGGGACAAACTCGATTACCGTTGGCGGGACAAACTGCAGGGGCACTATGATTACCACTGGCTCGATGTCAGTCGTTAAATGTTGTAGTCGTGGTGGTGATGATGTTGGTGACGGCGGCGATATGTTGGACCGTTAGTGACGGCAGCAATATGTTGGACGTTAGTGACAGCAGCGATATGTTGGACCGTTAGTGACGGCAGCGATTTGTTGGATAATGCTGCAGTGTCTGTCGGGAGAAAGCTGGTATACGCAAGAGGCAACAAGAGCAGTCAACCAAGCGATGGGAAGAGTTATTCGACATCGAAGCGATTTCGGAGCAATCATTCTGTGCGATGAGCGGTATGTGGGACAGATTCGTATGTGGAACCGAAAAGTCGAACAAATTGAAACCATAAATTTGATCTGATTTTTTTTTTTTCCCTCCAATACAAAAGTGGGCCATTTTTCAATTTATGGGTGCCATGCCCTTGCACAGGGGAGATGCGAATCTTCTCTGTATCATTCCACGGTTCCAGCTTTTTCTTTTTTTTCCTTTTTCTAAAAGAAATAAGAAAAAAGAGAATGCTTTATTGATAAGACTGGCAACCGTGTCCAGTGTCCCTTACGTCTGATACCCATGCAAACCCTTCCCTTCATTATGGCCAAGGGGCCCAAGTTGGCAGCATTAATAATACATTCCTGTGACCGGAAGGGTGTACTCCCACCGCTCCACCCCTCCAATTCCTCTCTCGGCTTAAACCACCAGTACCCCAGCGGTTGTTAGGCCCCCTCTGGGGAGGCTTTGATGCAAATGCATATGGACCCGCACAGCGCACCGATTCAGCCAACGCGTTAATGGCCTAAAAACGTGGAGGTACTGGTGGTTTAATTTTAACAGATGTCACCAAGGACAATTTGAAATTTTATAGATCTACGAAATCGCTAATTTTTCGCTGCCTCTCTCTCCCCTCTCCTCACTGACACAGGCCTAGGGCCATGACTTCAGCCAGGGAGATTAACCTCATGGTTCATATACACCTGTAGGCTGTAGGGAAATAAACAGCACACTATCACACTCTGCATCACTCCGATTCACTTGTCGAGCTTTAGTCCCTTTCCAGCATGTGAGCAGCATGTATCCTTTTTGCACCCTGCTGTAGGGAAGACAAAACCCATCATCACTCCTTTCCACCTCGAGTCCCCCTGCTTTTTCTCTTCATTCGGTGGAAAACCAGGTCGTTACGCCCGTGCTCGTCGATTGTCCAAATCTTGAAAATCTTGAAGTTGAAGGTTGTCATTATGAACTTATTGGCAGACCACCCTCCTGTATTGCTAAGTGCATTTGTTAGATTCATCACTACCATTCCGGTCCTTGAGTTGGCTGTTATCCACAGGCATCCAGTCGCCAAAATCTAATGGATTCACTTCTATGTCACTTCCCCTCATTGATTCCGTTGGGAAGTCGCAAACTCCTTTATTACACGACCACCCCCCTGCCCCCCTCTCTCTCTCTCTCTCTCTCTCTCTCTCTCTCTCTCTCTCTCTCTCTCTCTCTCTCTCTCTCTCTCTC